AGGGCAGCACTGCTAGAAGTTTCCGATGGACCGAGGCATTGATGAGTTGGAGACCGAAAAGGCCCTGCTTCGTCAATGGGAACAGACCGGAAAATGGATGGTGGATCATGCGTGTCATTTGGATGAGGGATCGGACCTATCCTACAGTAATCCAACAGTTTGAACTCGTACTGCTACATCCTATGATCAAAGCATCTTCACTGCGAAAGAGAAATTGGTAGAGGCGAGTAGACCCAGTGCGGCAAAGTCAGACCAGTCAGAAATGCCTTTGTTTTATCAGACCGTGCCAGGCCAATCGAGAACCTCTTCCAAGCCCACAGAAGCCAGCGGAGAATCCGACAGAGGAAGACAAGGTTTGCGGCACCAGAACGGAGAATCCACGCACTTTTCATTCAGGTAGTAACAAGTGCCACGCTAGTAGTAACAGGTGCCTTACTAGTAGTAACAAGAAGCTACTAGAAACAAGAAGCTACTTCTTGTTACACCGATCTTCGGACACATCATGTCGACGGATCGATGAATACTTCCTTCTTCCCGAATGGCAGCCTTCTCGAAAGTGGACTGGAGTTTCTGGACAACATCACACGATCCTTTCCGACATCAGGCACCAGGTCGCATCCGATTCTCCGGTCGCATCGGGACTGAAGGACGACGAGCTTCACACGGAGGGAGTGTCCATCGGATTGGCCGGAAGCTTCGACACGGTGGAGGAGACTGGGGAGACACTCCCAATCGAAGCGGTGGGTTTCCGCGAAAGCGGGTTGAATGCACTCCACACACCCAAGGTTTAACATTAAGCAGACATAGGATATGAGAGACCACAGCAGCAGTTTAGAGTTATTTTTGTATTTTGCCAGAGGGCCCATGTACATTTTGTTCGCGCTCTTTGTGGTGCATGGTTCTGTAGACATTTGTGGACATCATGGTTCTGTAGACATCAGTGGTTCAACCAAGTTCGTTTCGTTCATGCCTTTTTAATGTTTGGGTGTGTTTCACACGCTTGCCGTTTTTTATGCTGTGCCGCTATGCTTTGTCCTGGGAGGAGAATAGGAAGCTAGAGGGGCTCGTACCTGCCAGAGAGTTACTTGTAGGGCACCTTCTGTGTGGTGTTTCTCCATTTTTTGTGTTTGAATGACTTTTCATTGTTCCTTTTTGTCAAGTGACGTTCACTGCGGTGGGGGAGCTCTGTTTTTCCTTGTGAAGCGAACGAAGGGTTGGAGTTCATGGGTTGATGCTTGTGGGATCAGCTGAGCGAAGCTGAGAGGTCACCTGCACGCACGCGCACACAGATGCTGGCCCAGATGCCACATGATGCCACCATGTATGGGCGGAAGAGGCTTCAGTGGATCATGCTGAGTTTGTGCAAGTTCTAATGCCGCTGAATGCCCGTTGGAGAAATGACGCGCGCCCTTTTTCCTGGTTCATGATCTTCTGAAGAATGTTCTCGGGTTTAAAGACTGGTGGAATGGACGCCTGTGAATGTGGGTGCCCACTTGGAGGACGTCGGGGAACTCAAGGCTCGCATCCACTTCCTGGAGACTCAGTGCAGCACGCTGCAGTGTCTTGGCGTGCACTTGGAGTACTGGCTTTCGTTCCTCCCTTCTCAGGTGTTTTCAATGCCAATTTCAGCTTTCAGGTCACATCAATGGGTTTTTATCTGGGATTTTTGAAGAGGGGAAGCTCTCCACCCGGAGAAGCTGCAGGAAGAAGCTCCACGCGCGTCCCTTGGTCTACAAGTCTCCTCGCCGTCCCACGGTGAAGCGTGCCACTGGCGTGCTGGGTGTGCTGCGGGAAATCCTGGTGCCTTGGTTTTCATTATATTCTAATTCTAGTTCTTGTTTCTAGCTTTATTGTTCCTAGTAGCGATGCCAGGAGCCCCTCGTAGCGTCCTTGTTCCTAGTAGCGATGCCCTTTGTTACTGGCAGGTACCGAGGTCCGCAGGGAGGTACCGAGGTCCGGAGGTGTGAAAAAAGAACCGAACACTGAAGTAGCTGACCTTATTAAAGCAAGACCTTCCCGGTGATCTTGGAAAAGCAGGATTGACCTTTTCAAGACCTCATGTTGGATCTCAAAAGGTCACTGGGAGGGTCCTGGTTGATGGGTTTGTAACAAGCTGTAGCCATGTTACCGTGACCGGCCGTCAAGACATTGATTTCTGTTTGGTTGCCTAACAAATAAACGGTGGAATTCAGCAGTCAGGGGACATTGACTTATGTTAGGAGGCATTGGTTTAACCTCTCTCAGATGGAGGACCCTTTTGCCGAACGTCCAGGAAGAGCTGCTGCGAAACTTTACCGAACGTTTGCTGAAGCACGATGCCTTCCTTTGGGTCGCGCGCTCGGAACACGAGGCCCTCGGACAGAGGCCAATTGAGCTGTAGATGACTGCGAAACCGCGAAACCTGGAGTCAGGAAGAGATCATGACTGCGAAACCTGAAGTGTCATAGTATGTCATAGTCATACACAACTGAACTACTCTGACTATTGAACCAAACTGCTACCCTCACGATCGTTTCGTGGAGTTGCAGGTCTTCTATGGCCACCTGTGTGTCTTGTATGTGCCTCGGCGCGACCGCGTGCAGAGTTCCGGACAAAGACAGTTTGTTCGAACTTTACAACTGCCTGAATGAAGTACGACATGGCCTTTGACCTGTCACCCTCATTGTGCCTACAATTTTTAATGTGCAGAGTGAGCCAATAATAATTACTTCCCTAGATCCAGAGTGAGCCAAGGATCGATTCTTTAAACAACATGTGAAGATGCAGATGTGAAGATACGACCAGCTGTTTGTTTGGGCAGAGAGTGGAATCTCCGCGATACGACCAGTCTTCACAGCTCAATCTCTTTCACAGCTCCAAACTGACAGCCCTGGCGTCGGCAGGCCTCGGGCCTTGAGACCTGGGTTCCATCGATCGCTGCAGGTGATCGCTGCCAGTTGCTATGCTCAAACGGGCGTCAGCTCCACGACGGTGGACGTGAACCTGCATGCGCAAGCCCTTCGAGGAGGTGCAGACGACAGGGGCATGGCATGACTGGTAGTTCACTGCGACTGATATGAGAAGAAAAGTAGGTCCTTTTTTAGGAGTCATAGCCACTTTGCAAGAAGAGTTGGTGAGGGTGTGTGGTATGTTTGAGATGGTTTGACTCGGCCGACATGTGCATTTTGCCACGAGAACTGAGCATTTGGCACTGTTGACGTATGCTACGTCCACGGAGAGGCTGAGAGCTCGGTCACGGAGAGGCTGAGAGGCCATTGAAATCGCCTGAACCTTTCCGCGGTCGCACAGATGTGCCGAGCACCACTTAGAGTCCGAGCACAAAGTGGCTTCGGCACGAGTGAGCAACGCTGAAAATGGGACTGCCAGGCCTCCAGCAGCTAAACTAAACATCAACAGCTGAGGAGCTGGGGTAATGATCCTCCACTGGCTCAACGTCTCAGCTTGTTGGATGTACAAGTCGAGCTTTCTCCCTTCTCGAGGGCTCTGATTCGCGTCGCACTATTTCTAGATATTCTCCATCAGTTAGTCCAAGATTGCCTTGCTTTCTTGCGAGGTTGTAGCATGGACCGACACAAAGACGCAGGTAGCACAGGTGTCTTTCGCACAGCGCACAGCAGCTCGCATGGCTTCCACACAGCTTCTGCGAAGTCCGTGGACAGATTCTCTTCCAGTCCTGCCATGGTGCCATGTCTGTCCACGGCGGTGCTCGCAGCGAGTCGTCCTTCTTTGTCTGGGGAGTGGAGAAACGTCGAATGTATTCCTTTGAGAAAAAAGAACAACGCGTTTGAAGGCACATCGAATGCATCGAAGTGTGCCTTTGACAGATTGGAACGCAGGATGGACTTGGTGAGATCTCAGGGTTCGTGGCCAGAAGCCTGACCAAGAAGGGACCCACTACGGCGGTTGAACGATGGGCGATCGGAGAGATCGCCACCGATCGGAGCAACTCCGCTTCGAAGGAGGATCAAAGCCCGGGACATCGAATTGGGGAGTGTTGGAAGTACTCCCGCCCACTAAGACTGCTTGATCAAAAGACCGCTTGATTGAAGAACTACCACTGCTTGATGCAGGAGACAGCATCCAATATTCAGCATCCAACATCAAATGTTGCAAACGTAGATGACTGCTGATTGAGGAGATGTTCTCAGTGGATGACTCTTTGAGTGAGCTTGAGCGAGAAACGGTGCCCTATCATTTCTAGAGCCTAGAGTTAAGTTTTGAAGTCACTATTCTTGGACGTGCCAACCTCTAGCCACCTGTCACTGAGTCAAACCACTGAGAGATTTTCACCTCTGTGGCACTGTCCCGTTCTCTGAGTTTAGCTGCTAGGCTTTAGGCTTTGACGGACTGAGTCTTTTCTTATGTACGTACGCAAGGGGGCAAGTCACGTGGCCACACGAACCCAGGTACACACTCATTTTGTCTGTTCTAGTCTGTCAGGTCTTTTGAAGAGAACAGATTTTGCAGGTTTTGCGCCCTTGCGCTGACGAGACCGTTTCGAATCTCATCAGCTCTTGAGGTTAGATTCATGTCATTCACCGTACCATGTTTTTTTGGCGGTCATGGCTCAAGCTCACAAGTGCTGCCTTCCCCTCGCTTTAGGGCGGGAAACCCGCCCGGCCGTGTTTCCATGTGGCACAGAACTGATGAGTGATGACCAGCAATTTGCTGGAGGCCAGCGGTTTGCGAAAGAGCATATGCAGTGCTATAAAGATCGGGGACGATTCCGGGGTAAAACGATTCCGTCGAACCCTGTGCAATCAGAGAGGGTTCTGAATTTGAACCCAGACATGGTAGTGCTTATTTCGCCTCAAACGAAAGATCAGACAGCTACATGTATTTTCATTACTTTGACTTCGTTGATTGTGATGACGGTCTGAGAAAAAAAGTAGCTGAAACAGTGGTCCTTGAAACCACGTGCCCTGTTACAAACACATGAACGACATGAGATGCATGAATCCGACCTGCTCATGCACAGCAATCCCATCCAGCTCTTTTTCATGCGGAAACCACTGGCATCCTTTCCGGTGGTTCTTCAGCCCCACGGGAACCACCGCGGTCCGCGGAGCCAGCGCGGTCGCCCGCGGTTTGAGGTGAAGAACACCTTGCACCAAGTGCTGCGTCGAGTGGATGCCAATGGGGCACCTCGGAAAGGGGGGGGGTTGGGCCGTTTTTTTGGAGGTTCTAGTCCCGCTGGGCCGGCTTCCGTCGGGGCCCAGAGAGGACAGCCCTTCTTTGTTTTGGGATCTTGTTTGGCCCGGAAGAGACCAAACGATGCGTGGGCTGTACAGTACTTCTATCGTACGTGCGGTGTGCGTTTGGATGTCCGTTCCAAAGGCCCACGTCGCCGTGGCCGGGCCTTTGGGAATTCGGAAAAACCACACGTCCCCCGCCGTGGGATTTCAGTGACAGGTGGACCGGGATGGGATAGGATTGACTTTTGGGGTTTCCTTGTTTTCAGATTTGCTGGTTTTCAGCTGTGAACCATGTGAGCAATTCCCTCCATTCAGGATGGCTACATAGACAAGGATGAACTGTTCTTTGTTTTGGACAGAGTGGGCACGTTCAAAAAGACCAAATGGCCGTGCACTCAGACAGCTGCACAGTTAGTGCTAAAAACATATCATGCAAGCATGGTATGCATGGTTGCCAGCTTCTTTGTTGGAACAGAGAATTCTCTTCCCGTACACATGACACTGTTTGGTGGAGGTCCAATCTGCGTGAGACAGTGGACAAGCTTCTAGCAGGACGATTCATATCGACTCATCATGAATGCCAGCTTCGTTTCATGATTCGTTCGCAGCGACCGCGGAGGGCCTTGCAGACCGGTGCCAGGACTAGACACGAATTCTGATGGCTTCGTTGACGCTTGACCGCACTGCGGTGGTTCCACAGGTGATCCCTCGGAGGTGGGTTGGTCTTCCAACGCGTGCGTTGTCGGACAGTTGGGTTCACTGGGATCGTGGACAGGTGGTTGTCGCGACCTTTTGGGTTGGTGGTGGAATTTTGTACAGATATTTACATGGAGAACCGGGCCCCAAACTAGTTTTGACCAGTTTGTTCTTTGTATTGAGCAAACGGTTGCTAGCAGAAGTCTTGGGTGACTGTGTTGCCCATGGGCCGTGATTCGCTTCGCGAGCACTCAAATATGGCAGCTGAAAAATGTGACAACGATTGCATTTAGTCATTTAGTGTATTGAAATAGGGAGACCTCCCGCCTCCCAGTGCGACCCCGGAAGAAAGAATATGGACCAAAACCCACTGGGCCACCTGGTTAAACTACACACCGTGTTTACATTGAGAGATCCACATGGCTGACCCCCTTCGTGCTCTCGGTCTCCGGTCTTCTCACCAGCGACCTCGTGGTCGTGCCCCAACCAGCCAGCGACCGATTTTTCGGCCCCTGGGATGGTGGTGATGCTTTCTACGCTTGGCTACCCTTGGCTTTCTACACTTCCTCCAGAAGTGCTCATTTGGGATCCACCGCCCAAATGGACCAACGATAGACGCCAACTCTTCTGGTCGAGCCTGACGGCGTAAGCGCAGTGTGCGGGCTTCAATCCACAGCAAAGAACCGTGAAATGACCTAAACTTCTGGGATAGGGGGAAGAACTTCCTGAGAACTGTTTGAGTCTGTTATAAAGCGAACGCCATGCGGACCTGCTGCTAAGGACATACAGGAATTCTTAGATTGGGCGTTGCGCTTAGATTTGCCTCTGCATGTTTCAGGGTGTGTTGGACTTGACTAGAACGAGACATCCATCACTTCCATCCTTCGGAGACATGCCAGGGTCGCATCTCCGCGGACATCGCAGCGGGACCTGTTCAGGTGCTTCTGGACAAGACAAAAGCGTGCCCAACGACGTCTTCCCTGCAGATCAAGCACGTCTTCCTTTCGGCCGAGGTGGCGGAACGTGTTCGGCAGATAGTGGACGCCCCCCTGTTCGGCTGCGGACAATATGACCCAGAGGAATCACTGGTGTTTCTGCTCTTCCAAGCAGACAATCATTATCTGAATGAACATCAAGTATTCTCAATTTCCAACCTGTATATAGCAGCTAAAGATTCTCACCCATATGTAAAGAAGATATCTTGTGACAGGCACTTTTTCAACAATTATTTTTTCCCCTGAGAGTTTCCATGTCGACCATGTTGTCGACCGCGCCCCATTCGGTCTCCAGGACGAAGCGCGAATGGTTGGGCCCTGAGTCGTTCGATCTGGAGATGGTTCGTTGAAAAGACAACATCGCGAACTCGTGGGTGTTCTGTTCATCCCGGCTTCTGGGGATTTTCCTGGCCCCAGGCTTTTCTATCCCTCGGCATTCTTTGACCTCAGACACCCTCTAGAGCAGTTCATGCTTTGGTTTCTGGGCCAAACTTGCTTGGGAGTAGATAGGAGAACCCCCTAGACCAGTTCTAGATGGGATACCTATACCAGTTAGTGCCATCTTAGGTTTTGTGCCAATTCAAAAAGCTACTGTGTTTGTGTGGATCCCTTGGATTTATATTGTCAACCAAAAGAGGATACAGGTGCAGGGGAGGTTGTGTGCTGAGGAGCGCATCGCCCTCTTTGAGTTGGAAGCCAAGGAGAAGATGATCATGAGTTGTTTAAGAAAGAATGAGATGATCATGAGTCTTGTGGGTTTCAGAATGGACTGTCTAAGCGTTCACCAAGCAAAGATGAACATCCCCGAACCCTCAGAGGTAGGGTTCAGAAAAGATCGTCAAGGAATCAACATTAACATGTTGATTCCTTCCTTGATCCTCATTTGCCAGCTTCTGGATGTCCGCATCAGATGTCTCGATTCTCTTGGTTGTTGCTCAAAGCTTCTGAGCCTAGACCGGTGTTGCTTCTCTGACGGGGGGGTACGGATGGCAGGAGAACAATGAGATCCTTCTCCGAGCTGGGCTAGGCTGATTGTCGGATGTCGAAAACGCCCCGTGGCCGCCCATGATTTTATGGCTCCCAAAGGGCCCCAAGAGTGGATCCTGTGAGTGTTCAGTTCTTCCATGTTTGTTGAACCAGAGAACATGATGATTCTGTTAAATCCTCTGGTACTTATGCCATGTCGTGTCATAACACCAGCTGTGGACACATGCAGCTTTCATGGTTGTAGGCAGATACCCAGTTCCCAGATTTTTGCACTTTACTGGGAGACGACGTCTCCAATCGTGGATTTTAGCATCAAAATCAAGCCTTAGCGAAATTACATGACATCGCTAATCTCAATCAATCTTATCTTGGCGATGCCTGTCATCGAGAATCAAGACCTCTTCCAGAAACATCCAGACACAGGTCTCATTTAGCAAAGCATTGAACAACGCTCCGTTTGTTGTTGAAATGCTGGTGTTCGTGCTGTGAACCTTGGTGAAAATGACTATTGAACACATTCTTCTTTTGATGGTTTTGAAGAGACTCCATTAGAACTGACACATTCACTCGTCCACATAGACATAGTAAAACACGTGTCTGGTCGAAACATCAATCACATTCACACTTCTAGACACGATCCGAGACTTCGACGCCGGCGATCCGTCGACCGATCCCGTTCGATCCGAGACTGCGAGGCGAATTGATGGACCCCAAGCGGCTCTTGCTGTCGGTGGGATCCTCCTCGACCCAGGCGACGCCACGGCCGCCGGGAGCGGAGGAGTCTCGCCTCACGGAGCGAGCGAAGGGTCCACGAAAAGGAGACCACGGAGCGGTCGCCTTGGACCTGGCAGGGTTCTCTGTTGGATGACAGAGGTCTGGCTGACGTATTGCAACTGAGGAGGAGTCTCGCCCTCGTTTTCGTGCGCAGACGACGCCCGCCAGAGTTCCTCACAGTCGGTGGGATTCGGGGCACTATGGGACAAAACCCAGTCTTGACTGCGAGTCGACGATTCCGAACGAACCAATACGCGAGTCGACGGTGTTCCGAAGGCGTCGAATGCCATGGCTTCTTTGGGATCACTCGACCTGGTGTTTGCACTCACCCACCGTGCGACCCCCGTGTTTTCGTGGAGTGAACACCACCTGGGTTGACGGTTCGTAAGCTTAGGCCTGTGGAAGGCCACCCAGTGGACATAGTTTTTCCTCTTTCTTTTTTTCTTTTGACTGGCAAACTTCTTTCTTATATATTATGATTCTTGACACTTTCTAGCTTCTTTCTCAAAATATGTTTTTTCCACCAAAAACATATATAAACACAAACTTTCTAAGTTGTCATCCGACATGGAGGCGATGCCAGATCCCACGGAGCTCGCGAGGCCTATGATGCCAAGGGCCTCACCGTCTCGGTGCCCACCGGAACGAAGGCGGCCGCATTTCGGGGAGGCAGACGGAAAGACACCAGCATAGTATTCTATTGTATTCTAATGTATTCCTAATGTATTCCTTTGAATGAGAGACCACATGTGGAACAGGGAGGTTTTTAGAATACTTAGCATCTATGAAAGTCGCATTGCCTTCAACAGGAGCGACACGCGGCATGAGGAGCTTCCATCCGTGAGGAGTAGTCCATCCGTGTCAGGTCCATCCTGGTGGGTCTTCAAGAATCCGGTGACGGACTCACTCCTGTTATGTATATATATAGTTTGCAAAGAGGTTGGAGGCCCATCACTATATTAGAAACAAAGAAACAAAGATAAGGATCAAAGGTATTGAAAGGTCAAATAATATATTCTAATATTATATTATATTGTATTATATATATATTATCTAATATTTATGACTATGCAATACACGGTATATATGTTTTTTCTTTCCAAGACGAAAATCCCAGGCCCGGTCCGGACCACATCGTTCGGTCCGACACTCGTCTGGCTGGGTCGTTGCGCCCGTAGGTCGCCAGTGACCGAGCCTTGAGGGAGCTGGTGGAGGCCATCACAAGAGTGGGGGAAAGCTATGAGCCCCTTTGGAGATCTTTCAGTGGATGAGGGGGAAAGCTGTGGGGGGGAGGGCGCAGAGCACGTTTCACACGTTTCACACGACATTGTCCTGCAAAGGCATCATGGCATTGTGGAGCTGCTTTGCTGTGATTGAATCTGGAGAAATGTTCGTGGATTTGTTTTGGGCACGTCGTCTGGCCGGGGCGCTTCATCTGACCGGGTTCCACTTCGCAGGGATCAGTTTTCCCTGGTTAAGGGTACATCGGTGTCAACACTGAGTCTCCCTGATAGTCCCCATGGGCACGACAGCCAACCTTGGGCTCGTAGGGTTTCAAGAGATTTTTGAGATCAAATAGGGGATTGCCTTCACTTTCTCACATCTCCTACAGATGCCCCCAAGTTGGATGCCCTTGGCCTCTTCTGCGTTATGACGCTGCACAATGAGGCAGATCTTGCTGATCAACTCGATTGGATATTGTCCCTTGGCAGCGTTTGTTGCAGGGTTCCCGGTTCCCAACCAGTAATTCGGCTCCCACTTCAACCGCTTCGAAAGTGTCAGCTTGCCAAGCAGCTTGCAGACTTTGACCTGTGGCTTCAACAGGAGCTTGGAAGGTCTCTCTTTGCCAGGCAACATGCAGACTTTGATCTTCGGGTCCAGTTTCAACCAGAGCTTGGCAAGCGTCACCTTGAGAAGCAGCCTGCAGACTTTGACCTTCAGGGAACACTTTGACCAGAGCTTGGAAGGTGTCACCTTGCCGAGCAGCTTGCAGAGCTTGACATTCGGCAGTGAAATCAACCGGATCTTGGGAGGTGTGACTTTGCCAAGCAGCCGGCAAACTTTGACCTTTGGCCAGAACTCAACCAGAGCTTGGAAAGTGTCACCTTGCCAAGGAGTTTGAAGACTTTGTGACCTTCAGCAATTCTTTTCACTCTAACTACTCGTATGGCATTGCATTGGCAAACAGCTTGCTTGAGCTTTTTTGGGGCGAGTTTAATGTACGCGTTCATTTCAGGCTTTTTGATATCATGGCAATTGGGTCTTCTTCACTGCGTGAGAATGCCTCGAATTTCGGTTGAGGCGATGATTCTTCGGGTGACTGATGAGAATCATGTGCAAATGACTAATACGCCCCGGTCCCCGTGCGATACGTGGTGCAAAGAAATACAGCGTCCGCCCCGCCGCGGACGCGCCCGGACATGGGTGTTCACACCTTGACACCAGTGCAAGTGACACCAAGGTTGACTCTGGGATGCATGAGAATATTGTGTCATATTCGGAATCGTCAGTATTTCTACATGCCAAACTCAATGAGAACTGGACTTCACCTGGTGATCCCTCAATTTTGCTGCCGCACTCCTCCCAAGTGCCACAAACTGAAAATCAGAGCCTTCAGAACAAGAAGTATTCCTTTTGCACTGCCTGTGGCGGAAAGGAGCTTCTCTATTGAATCTGAAGTGAGGTATTGCCTACTTTGGACGGGCGGGAGGTCAATAGCTCCAGAGTCAGCTACTTGTTGGGAGTGATTGAAAGTCTGCAGATGTTCCACTCAGGCAGGTCGGATGCGAAATGTAGATTAAGAACACAGAATCTGCACAAGGTCAGTTGGACACTTGGAGGGAGATACCCAAGACTCTTGCAGGAGTTGCATTTCATGTTGTTTAAATCTATGGGACCGTCAAGCAAAACAGTCTAGGCTGAAGAATCAACATAGTAATTTCAACATGCAGGTTGATTCCTTACCCTGTCGATAACCCTTTTGGAACGTAGTTTCTTATGACAAAGCAGTCTTGAGTGTCAGAGTGCAGTGAGAATCTATTTGTATAGTCAGTTGGATGAGGTCAGTGTGCTCATAGAGGTATCATGCACGAATTGGTGAGGCCTTTGCATTGGTATCAAAAGCCCGTTTTCATCGGAAGACTGTTGCTAATACCACCTTTCTTTCTAAATGCACCCACTATTGAACTCATACATCAATACATTGATCCAATGCATTTTTAGCACCAGACTCACCAGAGATGGACCAACTCTACCACCACGACAGAAAGAGAAAACATCAACACACACACACACATATCAAACACCACCAACCTTTCGCCGGTAGCTCCAACACCGCTCTTTTAGACAACCACCATCAAAGCCGGTCCACCAAAACAGACGGCTCCCGCCGCTGCTTCCACCTTCGGTGCTCAGTTCTGCAGCCCGACGACCCGGTGCTGCTGGAGCTCAGCGAGTTGGCTCGGCGGCGGCCGGACAGCGCCGCCGAGCGCTTCGATGCCATGCTTCGGAAGGCGGTCGAGCTGTGCCGCTGTGCGGTCGCTGTTTCCCAGAGGTGAGCCTTTCTTTGAGTGAAGTGCCTGATGCTTATTGTCATTTAGTGTCATTTAGTGTGGCCGGATGGAGCTTCTTTGATGCTAATAATGTGGATTGCAAAGGTGGCATCACAGGCATCATCACAAGCATTGTGGCAATCATAAGTGGTTGAAATGGCCGCAGCCATCAACCCGGCACGGAAGGTCTTATTGGTTTGTGAGAAGTTCAGGTCCTTCACCTGCCTGACTTTTGTGCATATCTTTAATTTCGCATTTTGTTGCGATGTTGACAGATGTGCTGGTTTTGGGCGGGGTGCACCCGGAATGTCAAGGCACTGAAAAAGCAACTGAAGGGCCATCTACCTGGTGGTGTGGTTGTGTTTCTTCGCATTTGCCACCCCTCAGCCCCATCATTCAAACAAAGGGTCCAAGTATGGCCGTGGGTCAAAACCGGGACCCCTTAATCTCTGGTAGGTGGACCTCCCCACTAGTCTGTTCATTTTTGGTGGTCACTGACTCGGAGTTTCGTTGAAGTCACCAGGCCTTTCCTGCAGCCTCAACGCGGGTCTACAATCGAGCAAAGGACCGGAAGCGACCGACCTTTCTTCCGAGAGCGAGTGGCCGGACGGATGGGTCACCAGAGAGTTCACGCCAGGTCTTTGCCTTGAACTTGACATCGGCGACCGACCGACACCGAGTCTGGCACACGAATGAAAGTGCCTAGGACCCCAACACCAAGCGGTACAAGTTCCCACAGCTCTTCAACGACTTTAGCCTCTCTTTGACCAAGGCCCGCAGCGGAAAAGCAGACGATTGAAAAAGTCGAAAGGTCATGACATCTGAATCGCACTCATAGCCAAATCCGATGTGTGTAGGAGAAACCAGAGAGAAGGGGAAGAGGAAGGAAGCAAACATCTCCAAACATGACAACAGTAGAGTAACGAGCAGGCAGAAGATGATGAAAAGAAGCACAGCGGCTGAAATTGACACGACCAAAAGCAGCACAACGAAAACACTGAGGCTGCCACTGAACAGAACTGTTCTTTCCTTATATATTTATTCCTTCTCCACCCTTCCGCTCCCACAGCTCCAGACTTGCAGCAGCAAAGAGGACGCTAAGAAGCAGCAAAGAAGCGATGGTCGAAAACAACATGACAACCCCAAGACTGTGATGGAACCAACGGAGTTGTGGTAATCCTTCGGTTTCAGTGGCAACATCTCTTTTTTTGCAGAGTGACAAAAAGCGACCCGCAGGGCTGTGGCTTGCCGATAGGCGCACTGGCAGCTCAGATGAATAAGAACAGACTCTTCTCTGTTTGGAAGGGGTCCTCCAATCTTCAGAGTCTTTTTGGTGTGCCGGATTTCTGGGTAAAACGATTCATGATCAAGATTTCGCATTTTTTCCAAGGAGGTGCAACAAAGAACTCAAGATCAGGCACTCCACACTTGGGAGCGGATGAGTTAGCAGGACGTCTCTCACTTTGCTGAGGACTTTCACCCCGACATCATTGTCGACTGGGGCGGCACCTCCTATAAGGTCTTCATGAATGGCAAGCGGATTGGTACCGAGGCCCCGACTGTTGTCAGTTCAGTCCCTCAATTGGGTCGCCCTTGGTTGCCGCTTCTCAAGTCGAAGGAAGAAGAGAGCTGGGCCAAAGGTTCCATAGAATCAGAATCGATGCCCCTCTCGTGTTTTTGGCTTCGTCGTATCAACTCTTCCGAACACGATCGACACTGAAGAAGCCATTGAAAGTTCTGCCGGCCAACGTGGCGGCGTTTTGAACCAACGGTGTGATGCATCGGACTCTGTCCGATCTGCCAGATCTGCGGACGGACCACATGGAGCCTGAGAATTGACCCAGTGGTACCATTTCCGACCCACCCGGTGGTGCGGGGTCCATTTGGTCCTGAAGCTGCAGCGGTGGGAAGGGAGCAACGTGGCCTGCGGTGCAGGTCATGGATGCGAATGCCTTTCTGTGCGAGGGTGGCACTTTGCACCGAGACCGTGGCTTGGTGCAGATTCAATCTATTCCAATCTAGAAGAGTCGCTTCACATATGGTGCGCCATGAATCCTAGAAGAGCTGCTTCCGGATGTGTTGTGGATGATTTTTGATTGATGTGTTTAGTCGTATCACCTTCTGCTCACTCTCCGAGCCAAGAGGCTCACCCTCCGCGCCGTGGCCACCGCACCGATGACCGATCGCTTGGGATTGCATGAGCGCCTCGTCCGAGGTTTACCTGACGCCATCAAGGAGATTGAGAGCTCTGTGGCCGCGCTGTTGGAGCGCGAGAACGCCCCAGTGGCATCGCAGAAGGCGCCTGGATGCGAGGTGGTTTTGGCGCACGAGGTGGTTTTGGTCCTCTGGTCGAACTCGCAAGGGGTCAAACTCGCACCGGGGTTTTGTTCGCTGCTAGTCTGTTACTGGCCGTTGGTTGATGGGTATATCGAGGATGAATGGCGGAATCGACGGGTGATGAGATTGGAGATGTTCTTCTCCATTTGAAAGCACGAAGCAGCTGGTTTATGGTCGAGCTCAAGAAAGATCACAGCATAAAGAAGCACAAAAAGCAATTGACTGTTGATGTTTGGATGTTTCCCCTGTGCATTGAAAGAGTTGGAGCTCGGCCATTGCAGCTGTCGTCACTTTCGGCTCTCCTGTGGATGTGTTGGCTGCGTCCGGTTGGAGCTTTGGAATCAAAGCGTGTGGGTCCCCTTCGGTTCACCGGTGTGTCTGTTCGTACTGGCTGACTTTTCCTTCTTCCTGGTCGCAGCAAAGTACCGAACCACCTCAGGTGTTGATCGCACAGACGGGGAAGGCTCGTGAATTGGCTCTGAATAATACAGAACCTGGGCGATCGTCAAATGGATGAGATGGGTGAGATAGGAAGGGGAAGCGTGGGAAGGGTGTAGCGAAATGGGTCGAGATTGCGTAATCTATCTATCTATCTATCTATCTATCTCTCTCTCTCTCTCTATCTATCTATCTATCTATCTATCTATCTATCTATCTATCTATCT